TTGCTGGGCGCCAGGAACTGGCCCAGCAGGTTACGATACTGGCGTCGGCCCTGCTTCCCCGCAGCGGCTGTCTCCGCGATGGGGAGCTGGCGGGCGGCGCCCCGCGCCTGCCCCCCAGCGCCCAGGCGGCGCCGCGCAGACCCCGGCATCTCGCGCAGCGGGATGGAGGACGCGCAGGGCGGCGCGAAGCGCGGCAGGCACGGCCGCGCCGCCAGGCGCTTCAGCTGCGGCCCCGCGGCTCGGGCTCGCGGCGCAGGGCTGGCCCCTCGGCCCCTGGCTCGCGCCAGGGCGGCGGCCTCCACTGCCACCTGCCGCGACCGTGCAAGGCGAGCCGCCGGCGCTGGGGCAGCGCGCACAGGTCGCGGCGGCAGCGGGGGGCCAGCCCCGGGGGCCCCGCGCCAGCCTGCGGGCGGCCGCAGGCGTCACGGCGCGGCCGCAGCTGACGACCCTGCGCAGCGACCTCTCGCCAGTCCGCGGCGCGCACACGGTGTCCGCCAGCACGTTCGCGGGCACGGCTGGGGCCGTCGGCGCCGTTCAGCTCAGCTGGGCACCCATCGCGCGTGGACACGAGCGCCCGCGGCCAAGGTAGAGGCGGCCCCACGGCGAAGAACATTGAGCAGATAAATGGCACGGCAACGACCCTTCGAAAGGGCAAGTGCGAACGCGAGATTGTCCGCCAAGAGCAACGTGCCTCTTCCCCCACGAACCCGCGTCTGACAGTATCAGCTTGACAGCGTGTAAGTCTCCTCTTGCTTCCTCGCGGTGCATGGGTTCCTTCCTGAACAGGGGAAACCAGCACAGCAACTTCCAGCTGGCACGGCGGAGGACGCGCGCAGACACTTCGGGGAAGTCTGTATCACACTCCCCCCATCAACGCTGCGAACGACGGATCCGCGTCGAGCACGACCGTCTCGGCCGCACGGGCCGCGCGGTCGCGCGGCCGCCCAATGCCGCTCTCATCATGGGCGCGGCGGAAACGCCACCCCTCGTGCCAACGGCCCGCGCCAGCGACGTCGTCGGCCCCCCACTCAGCGGTCATCGAGGCGCGCCCAATCTCGCGGGCATCGGTCACGACCACCTGCGGCGACCAGGGGGCGTCCAGCTGGGCACAGAGCGCGATGAGGACCCCGTGGAAGATCTTCAGCTCCTTCCGCGCAGATGCCCAGTGGCCGAGCGCGCTGGTAGCCCTGCTGCACGAAGGCGCAGACGGCGCTGAAGCAGCTGAGGCTCTCGCGGCGACTGAGCGCCGCGAAGGTGCAGTGGCCGCGGGCGCGCTCGATGTCGCGGCTGGCCACCCTGGGGCGGCGCTGCGCCAAGTAGCCGAGGCCCACGCACAGCTTACAGGAGCGACGCGGCGCCAGCGTGGCCCGCGCGGGCCAGCCCTCGAGCTGCCCCCCCAGCATCACCACGGAGTCCGCGGCGTCGGCATCGTCGTGAACGGCGAGCCCAGCGGCCTCCAGGGCCTGGGAGGCCAGACGTCTGACGCGCGTCACATCCTCCCGATCGGCGCCCACGACGAGCACGCTGTCGACGCGGGGGGAACGGATCGGCTCGGCCAGCGGCGACAGCGGCGGCAGGAAGTCGACGGCGCGCAGCTCGGGCCAGAGGGCGTCGCAGCCGCCCAGCACGCGCTCGCGGGCCTTCTGCGCGAAGTAGAGGGCCCAGTTCCAGCCCATCGGCGCCGCGGCCAGCCGCGGGCAAAGGCGCGCCCAAGGCGCCACGCGGCGCCCGCCCATCCTGCCGATCCCCAGCTCGCCGGCGGCCGCCGCGGGCAGGCAGGACAGCGGCCGCAGGTAGGCAGGGAGCTCGCGATGGTAGACGGCGCTCTGGACGCCCACCCGCGCGAAGCAGGGCGGGGCCCTCTCGGGCACCTCCAGGCCCGCGGCCGAGAAGAGGCTGACTGGCGGAGACGGCTGAAACCGTTGGTTGCTCCTCCTGCAGCCGAGCACCATCCTGATCCGAGCGTCCTCCTTAGCCACGAAGAACACTCCGACGCCCTGCATCCCGGTCTTGCCTGGGCGCGAAGACGCCTCTAGAGGTCCCAGACTTCACGCGCTCCACGTACATCGCGCGGCCCTTTTACAGCACGGAGCCCGTGTATAACGTGAGCCCCCCGCCCTCCTCCCAGACTGCGCCGAAGCTCACTGGCGGCGCCAGCAAAGCGCGGTTGAGGTCCAGGAAAGAGCATCGGCCTGCTGGCCCGAGTCGGTCAGCGAGCCAGCCAGGCCCGCCCCCAAGTTGGGACCAGCTCACGAGGCGCGGTGCACACGGCCTCAGCGGCACATCGCAGGACGTGCCATAGCGCAGACACGGGCGGCCCAAACGCTCTGAGCAAGCTCCCTGGGCAGACGCGGCCGTCGGGGCCTCCATATGACGATTGAGGCGGCGAACGCGTCGAAGTAGAAGATCGCCCATCTGGGAGAGGCGCTCTGGCGCGCAATGCGGTGCGCTGTGGCCCCCAAGCAGGTCGAGGCACTCCACGGCGCCCCGAGTGCGCTCCATGGACAGGGCGCGTCGAAGACGCGCCCGAACCGAACGGGACAGTCCAGGCGGAGGTCGTGGAGGGACTGGCGCAGCAGGAACAACAGAAGGCAGCATCCCGCCACCAGCGGAGGACCTGTAGCAGGTCGACAAAACTGACCCTCGTGAGGCGGCGGACGGGCCGAGCGACCTCCCGTCCGCCGAGCCCAAGTCACCCGCGCCCCCTCTTGCCAGCGGAGGCGCTCTTCTCCTCGCGCGCCTCCAGCCGCTGCTTTTGGATGCCGGTCTCCTTGGCCAACTGCTCTGTCGATTACCTTGCCAACCCTGGCGCCGCCGCAACGCCGCGACGAGGGCTCTGCTTCGAGCGCCCGATGCAGCGTTCGACGCCCTCGATCTTCATGCTGCCCATGGTCTCCTCCGCCAACTGGCACGCGCGGGCGACCACGTCCATGCAGGTCAAGTTCGCCCCGTCGACCTGGTCGTAGGTCTGAGCGAGCTCGATCGAGAGCCCTAAGAGATCGTGGAAGTGGGCCGACGCCGAGTCCTTCGCGCAGCCGCTCTCACTCGTACACTTGGTCTGGCGGCCATCTGGGGCGCCGCCGTGCTCGATGATGCACTCGCACAGCCACTTGTAGCTGCGCTCTCCAGACAGAGGGAAATCGTCGAGCGTCTCCTGTCGCATCTGGCTCACGGGATCGCGGAAATCACGACGGCGTCAGCCTTCGCGAGTCCTCGGCAGTGCCCCTAGGAGGCGGGCATCAGCATCCTCGTCACCTGGCTGCTGGGCAGCCGAGGCGGAGGGCGCCAGCGCCATGGGCACGACGAAGCCAGCGGGCAGGCCGCGGGGCCCGCTCTCGCCCCAGACTACATCCCCAAGCATCGGCAAGATCTCGTCGCCACGCTGGATCTCGGCCCCCACCGCTTTGCTGGCAATCCAGGTCATGCCAGGCGGCGGCGCCTCCGCGCTCACCAGCACGCGGGCGCCGACGGAGCCGGGCGGCGGCGAGGCGGCGCCCTCTGCGGGCGGCAACTCCCTGTCGTCGGCCTCTCCCTCCAGCCCAGGCGGCGCAGGCACCGGCGGCGGGAAGGGCGGCCCCCGCGGCGGCACGGCGCCAGCGGCCGTGGGCGGTCGCCTTGGGCCCTTGCGGGCGAGGCGACGGTAGAAGCCAGGGGCCTCACCGAAGCTGACCGCGCAGGAAGACCGGGGGCTCCGTCACGTCGAGGCCCGCAGCTCGAGCATCCCGCCTGGCTGCGCGCACCATGTCCAGCAGCTCAGCCTCGGTGGGGTAGCTCTCGAAGCGATACGCGCGCCCAGCTGGCCGCTACCGGGCAGGCGCAGCGCCGAAGGTCAGCGAGGTCACGTGCGGCCCGTCCCCGTCGGCGCCCGTGGCGATCTCCTCGTCGTACACGTCGCCACCGGGGGTCACGATGGTCCACCTCGTCGGGGGTTGCTGCGCGTCGGCGGACCAGATCAACACCCGCTCATGCCAGATGCTGCGGTCGTCGTCGTAGTGAAAGGTGACGACGCGGCCAGGCAGCAACTCACTGAAGAACTCCGCCACCTCGGCGGCGCTCCCATCCGACCTGAACAACCGCAGACGTGGCAGCAGCGCCATGTCGAACGCGGCAATGACTGAACACGCTGAAGATCTGAGCGAGGATCCCCGTCAGCACCAGTCCGATCGAATGTAAGTAGAACGAGTTGGCGTCCGAGACGTGATGGACCTGCTGGGCGCGGACCTCGCGCAGCTGTGAGGCCAGCGAAGCGACCTCCGCGTGCAGCCGCGACACGTCTGCAAGGCAGCCCGAGAGGTTGCGAGCGTAGAGCGCGGCCCGCTCCGCCTCGCGCGACGCCGCCTCAGCCTGCAAAGCCACCGACGGCGGCGGTCCAGGGGGGCCCCCGCCACCGCTGCCACGCAGCAGCCCAGGCCACCACGCGTCCAGCGTGCACCACGCGCAGACTATCACCCACGAGGGAACCTGGAGGAGATGAGGGTGGGCCAACATACAGGTGCTTCCTGAACGTAAAAAACTTGAGCCAAATGGAACGGACTCCGTGCTGTACCCCCTACACGGTCGCAGGAGAAGTCTCATCATCATCACCATCAGCATCATCATAATCAGCATCACCAGAATCATCATCATCATCATCATCATCATCATCATCATCATCATCATCATCATCATCATCATCATCATCATCATCATCATCATCATCATCATCATCAGCATCAGCATCAGCATCAGCATCAGCATCAGCATCAGCATCAGCATCAGCATCAGCATCGTCATCATCATCATCATCATCATCATCATCATCATCATCATCATCATCATCATCATCATCTGCCTCATCCCCATGACTATCAATCATCAACACTAGCAGCATCATCGGCAGCATCATCATCATCGTCATCATCTCCCACTTCCCCTTGCCTTTCCCCCTCCTCCAACCCCGTCCCTCCTCTTCCCTGCGAAAGGAGGGCCGGAGTGTAGGCGCAGCGAGGATCTCCCTGGACAATATCAGGCAGCGCCGCCTCCTCCGACTCCCTCAGCAGCGTCAACGCATGTTGCCACTGTCCGCCTTCAAGAGACCCAATCATACCCCTCCTGTCTAATTTGCCCGCGTGTGGAACGAATGTCCGATGTGTAGATGCTCCATTCATCCCCCTCCTCCTCCCCGTCCCCCCTCAGAGGGACGGGGAGTGAAGGGGCATTGGAATGGTGGGGCGTGGTGATTGTCTCATACCGCCTTTCTCGCACGCGCTGATGGCAGCGTTGTAGCTGATCGCGTCCACCTGCAGCTTCGCCGAGTCCGCTGCCTCTCGGAGCAACGACACCGCTATCTGCCACTGGCCACCCTTCTCGCACGCGCTGATCAAAGCGTTGTAGATGATCACGTCAGGATCCAATTTCGCCTCCCGCAATTCACTGTGCAACAAACATGCATGCTGCCACCGCCTCCCCTTCCCGCACGCACTGATCGCAGCGCCATAGCAGACCACGTCGGGCACCAAATCAGCCTCCCAAAGATCGCTCAGCAGCGATAGTGCTTGCTCCCATTTGCCACACTTTTCGCATGCACTGACTCCTGCAGCGTAACCAATGACTGTACACTCTAAACCCGCTGTCCCCATGTCACGCAATAGCGACAAGGCCCGGAGCCACTGCCCGCCTTTCTCGCACGCACTGATTCCCGCGTTGAGGGTGATGGTATTGGGATTTATCCTAGTGGCACACATGTCACTGAGCAGACACAACGCCCACTGCCACTGCCCGCCTTTCTCGCATGCACTGACTCCAGCACTATAACTGAATCGAGAGGACCCCGTGGCCGACATTGGCCCAAGCACATCATGGCAAAACAAACTCGACGAAACAGGACTGGGCTCCTAGAATTCATGTAATACTCGTCCACAGGGCCCGCCCAAGAAGCGGGCTCCTGGTACCGCCCAGTGGGCTGCAGGAAACGCAATACGACTTATCATCGCAAGTGGCGCGGGCAACTTGGGAAGCCCACTATCCAATGGACGCCTACCAAAGCCGACTAAAATCCGAAGAACTATCGAACCCAACGCAGCCGCGGGCGTGAGAGCATCACGTATGGAAAACGAACCGCCACGAATCGACCGCAGAGCGGCGGTTTGGCGTCGCCAAGCGGTGGGGACGCACGGGCGGACGTGCGAAACGTCCCCAGGGGGACGGCAGGGCTGAACCCAAACGGTGTTTTTCGTGTTCGTGTTGTGTTCGTGTTCCCTCGTGTTGTCTTCAATCCGACTCTACCGAAAAACGAAGTCGAAACGAAAACGGCCCACGAAATCGCCAAAACACCGTTTAGGTCCAGCCCTGGGGGACGGGCCGACTGGGCGGCCAGCGCGGCGAAGGCCGACGCGCGGGCATCCTGTCCATTGTCCGCCTCGTCCTGCGTGTCCACCGCGTCTTCGTCCTGCTTCGCCCACACAATGCACGTCGACCAAGGGCCCAAGGACACACAAATTCGCCGGCCCAACTGGCCAGTGGCGTGCTAAGATCTCAGGTAACTACATAACAATATTTCTAGTTCGCGCGCGCGGGGCGGTCCCTGGGGGGCCCCGGACGAAAAGTACCCCAGCCGATCCCCGACCGGGTCCCGGGCGATCCCCAAGGGGAAGGCTATTTTTCGCCACCCCTCACGAGGATCGTGGCCTCCGAGGGGGGGGCTGCAATCGACTACCCCCCCTCCCGCCCCAAGGGGCCCCCAAGAGCCCCCCAAGAGGCCCCAGGGGAGCCCAATACGCCGCCAAGGAGCGCCAAGACGCTCCCAAGAAGCCCCCAAGACGGCCCCAAGAGGCCCCAAGTAGCGCTCACGGGCCGGCGGAAAGAGCGAAGCGATTAAATAAAAACACACAAATCCCAGGACTCCCTATATTGCTCCATATTCTCTGGATTTTCGTCTTCCCCCACACTTCCCATGTTTTCCCATATTTCCTGGGAGTCGACGATTACTTCTGTATGTGCGTTTTTTCCCTCCTGAATCGACTCCTACAGGGGCAGCCGCGTGCGCCAACGGGAAAGCTATTTCGGAAGCAAGAAGGGGCAACACCAACAACACCAGGGCGAGGGAGGTGCGAGGAGCAGGGAGGGTCTCCCTGGTGGTGTGGTATCCCCCTCTCGCTCGAGACATCCCCCACCTCCGGCTCGGGGAGGCATCGTGGACCTTCTCGCTCGAGGTGGGCCCCCTGGTGGTGTTGGTGTCGCTTCTCCTCTCTCCGACTATTGATACCACTGGTCGTCAAGAGCAACTGGTTGGGCACGAAAGGAGATTGCCGCAGCAAAGGCACCAAAGAAAACAGCCCGTTTCTGAGCGGGCAGGGTGCGCGAGAGAGATGCCACAGGGCAAGAAGCCGACTCGAAAGAGTGGGAACGCACACTCTATGTCGAAACCAAATGCTTCGCGCCGAAGCAAAGCGAGGAAGCGAAGGGGGGAGGGCACGCAAGCAGCCGTAGAGATGAAAGACGCGCTGCCTTAGAACGTCAGCGGCGGTATGCTCTGATGCATTGGGGTCAGAACAGCTCTATCGACTCATTCAACTCAAGATCACGCCTAGAGTCTAGACGCCTGAAGTTCACAGGCCATCGGGAAATTACGATTGTGATAGGGAAAGTCGAACACTACGCCCACGTGCAAGTCTGGAACGGCCCTGAAACTGTAGCTGGGACGGAGACCACCACAACGATTAAGACAACCGACCACTGGGATCACCTGCACGCCTGCACGTTTTGGCACGGCCCAAAACTCTGTCTGATAGGTCTCGACCACTGTAATCGTTAGGACCGCGTTGCAAAAGAGTTTCCAGGCACCTCTCGCACGGCCCGAACACACATCTGAAGGCCACGATGTATTAACACCACCGCCGCGACGGGACCCACCGACCTCCGGGAGCACTGACAAGTCTGTAGTCGGGAACGGCATCACCTAGAAGACCCAGGCCGCCGACAAGCAGGACAACGACTACCTGCACGCACGGCTTGTTGAAAGACGCCGTCCTGTTGAACAACATTTGCCTGAACCGACACTGAATCATTCGTATGGCCTGGCTGTGTAGGGAAACTCGACTTCACACGCGCTGGTAAAGTTCATATGATAACTGTCGGTTCCAATTTCGCCTCACTCATGCCTCTGAAAAGCAGCAGCAACGCCAGTTGCCATTGCCCACCTTTCTCGCACGCGCTAACCACAGCGTTATGGCCGACCACATCGGGCGCTAGTCCCTCTGATACCAGCTCCCTGTACAAAAATAATGCTTCACGCCATTTCCCACAATTTCCACACGCGCTGACTCCAGCATTGTAGCTAATCTCGTCGGGCTCCAGCTGGGCCTCTCGCATCTCCTGGAGCAACGAAATCGCGCGTCGCCAGTGGTAACCCTTCTCGCACGCGCTGATCCGCGGGCCTCTTGCGGGGCCACCAGGCTACGGTAGTCAGGCCTTCCATGTGCGTCATCTCAAGGATTGCACACTTGATATTCTCGTGTACTGCAACCTGTTCGGTTGCTGGTGATCATTGGTGAACGCGCGACTGCCAGGGCTCAGAAAAGGCCACCAGTCCCACCTGACAACCACTGGCGCTCAACAAAGCCCGAGGATGGCCCCAGCGTGGCGGAAGGGTGCCTCAAGAGGCCACAAGCTGGCCCCCACAAGCGCAAGCTAAGGATGGTCCCAAAGGTGCCCAAGATGGCACCAGGGATGCAACTGAGGTCCGCCACCTGGACGGTTCCCCCGGGGCCGTAGGCGACCCGAGGAGGGGAGGGCGAGGAGGGGGAGGAGGAGGAGGAGGAGGAGGAGGAGGAGGAGGAGGAGGAGGAGGAGGAGGAGGAGGAGGAGGAGGGGGAGGAGGAGGAGGAGGAGGAGGAGGAGGAGGAGGAGGGAGGAGGAGGAGGAGGAGGAGGAGGAGGAGGAGGGGGAGGAGGAGGAGGAGGAGGAGGAGGAAGAGGAGGAAGGAGGAGGAGGAGGAGGAGGACTAAGCCCTTCGGAGAAACCCTCCACACCAGGGATGCAACTGAGGTCCGCCACCGTGGCCTCACCAGGCACGCTGAGGCGTGGCAGAATGTACCGTGCTGTCCTGGCAGGCTTCCTGCAAGCCTCTGAGGGGCCCCGCCCTTTCCTCACGCTTTCCTACTTGCAGCCATCGTGCTACCAGAAGGAACGTAAAATAAGGAACGAAGGGGCTTTTCTGGCCACGGCGAGCCTCGGCGACGAACGGGTTCCCCGACCTAGGTCTAAGGAACTGCTCGAAAACCAGAGCCCCTCATGGACCCAAGGCGGTCCTTCTTTCAGCGTCTTGGCTGCACCAACATCGACGGAGGCCAGCGGCACGACACGAGAGACGACCCACGGACGACCGACGAAGACGGCGGGAACAAGGCGCGGGGGGGAGAGGGCGAGAGGGCAGAGGAAGGGAGGGAGGGCCCGCGGGGGCGGCCGCGCCCCGCGAAACCCTCACAAACCGTGTCTGGTCGGGCGGCCGCAAAAGGGCTCAGACGGCGTGCGGGCAGCGGCGTTCGGGCAGCGGCGGGACGCGCCGGAGCAAATGTGAGGGACAAAAGACCTCGACTCTCCTCGCACACCTTCGCATACACGGCCGCGCTCTCCCAAGGCTTCCTGAGCGGCCCAGCGCCTCCCAGGCGCTCTCCAGGACTCTCCGAGGCCTGCGAGGCGGCTGGGGGAGGCCACCAAGGGCCGCCAAGAGGGAATGGCAGGGCCTCAGGAGGTACCCAGGAGCCCTCAAGAAGCGCCCAGTCGATCCAGAATAGCATCCGAAGGGCCCGAAGACGCCCCCAAGGCGCTCTCCAGGAGCCCCCAGGCGGCCGAGAGGGCCCCAGGGCGGCCCCAAAGGCCCCCCAATACGGTCCAAGGGGACCCCAAGAGACCCGCCAGACTGGCCCGAAGGCGCTCAAGACAACCCGAAGACGGCCCAGATGACCACAATGAGAGCTCCTCAAGAAAGCGAAACGAGAGATGTCATATGTGGCGGCCTTCCAAGTTGTGATAGCGGGTTTGGCACGATAGCGGATTTGCCGTAGGCAGCTGGATCCTCTTCCAGAAAAGAATCTGGAGAACCCCATCGATTCACAAAAAAAACATCCTCAGAAACCTCGACGAAGCCTGGACAAACCCAGGGGGGCAACCCAAAGGGAAGCAGAAATCGCATGTTAAAACAAAAAACCAAGTGGGGCGCGCTACGGCTTCCATTTCAGCTCCCATCTCAACATGGCGACTTCCTCATTCTGAACAGCATTGTTTCATTCAGGAAGCATATTGAGGTTTGAATGTCAGAGACGTCACTCGAATAGCCTTCAAACACAGCCCAAGATGGCCCAACACACACCCCAAGAGGACCTGAGATGGCCCAATGACAGTGATGGCCTTAGCCATACAACCACACGAGGGCGTCAAGCGACAATGATGGCCCCGAACAGCAGTGATGGCCCCAAGTTGACCACTTGGATACCCAAAAACAGCCCAAGATTGCTCAAACGACCATGCAAGAATGGAAAGAGAAAAACGGCATAAACATAAACTTATGGCGCCCTGGGCGGATCCAAGAAACTGGCGGCGCCTCTGGCGCCGCCACTGGCGCGCGCCGCGCGCCAGGGAGGGGGGGTCCAGCGCAAATCCAAGAAATCCGCGCGGAGGGCCAAAAGTGTATGTTTATGCCGTTCTCTTCTTCTGAATAACCTCCAAAATCGCTCCGGAGAGGCCCCCGAACGTTTGCGACCCGACGGCCCCGAGACGACAACAAGCGGCACAGGGCGGAGACCTTCCAATAACAGAGTTGTAGGTTATGACATCAGGCCGGAGCGCTGACTCTCGCAAATCCTCCAACAACGACAACGCTGGCCGCCAACAACCGCTCTTCTCGCACGCGGTTATCGCAGAGTTGTAGCATACTGTGGTTCATTCCAGGTCCTGGTCCTGGGGCGGCATCCGAGGGTCCGCAGACCTCCTTGGAGGAGAGGGACTTGAGGGCAAGCTGCTACAGTGGGGGCCCGACCACAAGAAACCTTCCACAAGAAACCCAACCATGAGACCCCAGGACGTCCATTGAACTTTGGTGAGGGCACGTCACGCTTTCCACGGCGAAACCATCAAAACCCAAGAAACACAGAGCACCCGGGAGGCAAGCAGGGTGTTCCTTGGCATGGGTCTCCACTGTAGGATGCGCTCACGCCAGATCTGACATCCTACCCGTCCCACCCATCCCTTTCCGTGGCGCTGGCTTGTGCTCGATCCGCGGACGCGGGTCATGGCGGGCCCGCAACTCAGAAGAGGGACCCCACCGTGCTGCGCGTTATCGGAAGAAGGGGAGCTGCACACGCCAGAGCAGGAGCCGAGAGATGAGCAGGAGAGGGAGCAGGAGGAAAAAGGGGAACGTAGGACGAGGGAGGAGGAGGGCGAGGACGAACCGCAGCAGAGGGAGCTGGAGCAGACGAGAAGCGGGAGGAGCAGGAGGGCGGGGGGGCGGGCGGAGGGGACAGGAGGGGAGGGGGGGCGACGGGGGAGGGCGAGGCGCGCGCCTCGGGAGGCCTCCTGGGAGGAGAGGGAGGGGGAGGGCAGGCCAGGTGCGCTCGCGCCACGTCTGACAGCCTGATCCCTTCCCCTGGCGCTGGCTTCTGTGTCTGCCTGCCGACGCGTGGCATGGCGGACATGCAATTCCAAGCAGGTCCACCCTCGTGATGTGCGCGCGGAGAATGGAGAGCTGCGTACACTGGAGGAGGTGGCGGATGAGCAGAGGGGGAGGTAGAGGGAGAAAGGAGGGAGAGAAAAAGGGAAGAACGAGCAGATAAGTCGTGTGAGGTCCTCCTGTGTTGCCTCTGGGATCCTCTTGGGCTCCTTCACGCAATCTTCTGACCTCTTGGAGGATCTCGGTGGTCTTGGAGGCCTTCGGGATCCTCGAAGGGCATCTTGATCTTGCCTGGACCGTCTGGCTCTATCGGGGGCCCTCTAGGGGCTCTCCTGAGCCAGCGCCGGGGCCTCTTGGGCCATCTTGGGCCCCTCGTGGGCCTGGGTTCCCTTCTCACACGCCGCCAACGGGAGGGTTTGTTCGCCCTGTCCCATTCTGTTCGCCCAGAGGGTCTGTGGAGGCTTCCAGGCGAACAGAACGGGCAAGGAATGGGGGAGACTTGTCCGAATCTCCTGGGCCCCCCAGGTGCTCGTCCGAAGAGTGCGGAGAAGTCCCTGGGTCATATCAATTGGCTGCTGTCCCAGGGGTCCGGTCTGGTTTGCTCGAAGAGTTTGCCAAGGCCCCTGCGGGAACAGAATGGCACAGCATATCGTGCAAAGGGGGGCGGTAGCTGGCCTGTCAGATTCGGCGTTCGTCTTCTGCCCAAGCGGCGCGGGGCCCACGGGCCCCAGGGTTGGCGACCCACGGGGTTTCCAGAGGGTTGGAGGAGGCCTCCAGGCGAACAGAAAGGGGCAGGACAAAGAATGTGGGAGACTTGTCGCAAGCTCCTGGTCCCCCCAAGTGTTCGCCCGAAGGGTGTGGGGCCGTGTTGGTTCCCTCAAAAGGCCGTCTTGGAACCGTCTAGGCCCGTCTTGAGGGCGCCGAGTGCCGTGATGGGGCCAGCTTGGTTCGTCGTGGGCCCCTCATGGGCGCGTCGATGGGCCGTCCTGGGCCCATCGGGGGCCGTGTTGGCACTCTCTTAGGGATGTTTTGGAGCCATCTAGGGTCGTGATGGGGCCGTCTTGGCCCGTCTTGGGCCCCTCCTGGGCGCCTCCTTGGGCCGTCCTGGGCCCAGCAGAGGCCGTGTTGGCACCCTCTTGGGGCTGTCTTGGGGCCGTCTTGGGCCGTCGCAGCGCGCCGGGCGGTTTTGGCACGTCTTGGGGCCCTCCTGGGAGCCTCCTGGGGGTCTGCTGGGGCCCGTCGGGGGCCCCTTGGGGCCTCCTGGAGGCCTCTTGGGGCCTCCTGGGACCATATTAAGGCGGATAGCTGCTGTGGTGTTGGGTCCTCGTTTTGAAGAGACGGTCCCCGCGTTCCTCTGCTCCTCCTCTTCCCCCTCCTCCTCTCCACCGCCCGCATGCGTCCCCCACACCCAAGTTGGCACACCCCTCACACGCTTCGTGGCCCCAAAGGGAGCTCCGAAGGCCCCACTGCCACCGCCCGCTTGCGTCCCCCACACCCAGTTCGGCACTTTCACGCCCAATTTGGCATTTTCACCCACCCACTACAACGCTTCGTGGCCCCATGGGGAGCCCCACCGAAGCCCCCAGCGGGACCGCCCGCATGCGTCCCCCACACCCAACTTGGCATTTTCACCCACCCAGTACAGCGCTTCGTGGCCCCATAGGGAGCTCCACCGAAGCCTCCAGTGGGGCCGCCCGCATGCGTCCCCCACACCCAATCCCACCAGCCCTTTCGGCGTGAGTGGTTTAGAGAGCCCGCTCTGTCCTCAACCCCCCTTCTTCCCCTTCGGGGAGGGGTTTACCCCTCCCCCTACCCCCTCCCCCTGGACCTGGAGAGGGAGTCCCGAGCGTAGTCAGGAGGGTTTTTTTCGACTCCTGGGAGGGCCAAAAAACGACGACCCTCACGAGGATTCTGGCCCCGACGGGGGGGGGAGTTTGGCCCCTCTGCTCGTCTTTGAAGCAAAAATCATTGATTTTACTACGGTGTTGGCCCCATCTGGGCGTCCTGAGGGGGCCGCGCCCATCTTCCTTCATAGCAAAATCCGCCGACCCTGTCGGCGTGTGTGAGGGGTTTTTCCGTTCGAGCCGTCATCTCCGTCATTCTTTGTACTCGTCGTCTCTGTCCTTCCCTTTCCCTGGGAGACCTCTTCCCCTGGGCTCCAGCCAAGCCGACCTTGAGCAACCTCGTAATTGAGTCGAAGGGAAGCCCCTTCCCTTTGATCCCTCCCCCGCCGGGAGGGGGGGGGGGTAGCGACCCCCCCCCCGGGTCAGATACGACGCCCCCCCCTGGGACTCCTCTTCCCCTGGGCTCCAGCCAAGCCGACCTTGAGCAACCTCGTAATTGAGTCGAAGGGAAGCCCCTTCCCTTTGATCCCTCCCCCGCCGGGAGGGGGGGGGGGGTAGCGACCCCCCCCCGGGTCAGATACGACGCCCCCCCCTGGGACTCCTCTTCCCCTGGGCTCCAGCCAAGCCGACCTTGAGCAACCTCGTAATTGAGTCGAAGGGAAGCCCCTTCCCTTTGATCCCTCCCCCGCCGGGAGGGGGGGGGGGGTAGCGACCCCCCCCCCGGGTCAGATACGACGCCCCCCCCTGGGACTCCTCTTCCCCTGGGCTCCAGCCAAGCCGACCTTGAGCAACCTCGTAATTGAGTCGAAGGGAAGCCCCTTCCCTTTGATCCCTCCCCCGCCGGAGGGGGGGGGGGTAGCGACCCCCCCCCCCGGGTCAGATACGACGCCCCCCCCTGGGACTCCTCTTCCCCTGGGCTCCAGCCAAGCCGACCTTGAGCAACCTCGTAATTGAGTCGAAGGGAAGCCCCTTCCCTTTCATTCCTCCCCCGCCGGGAGGGGGGGGGGGTAGCGGGGGGGGTAGCGACCCCCCCCCGAGTCAGATACGACGCCCCCCCCCCGTACCGACCTTGAGCAACGTCGTCATTGAGTCGAAGGGAAGCCCCTTCCCTTTCCCTTCCCCGACGGGGGGGGGAGAGGAGGTCCCGGGGGGGGTCCCGGGGGAGTCCCGGGGAAGTCCCGGGTCAGATACGACACCTCCCTCCCCCACCTTCTCGTCCTTCTCCCCGTTCCCCCAAACCATCCCACAGCCCGTGCCTCTTGCTGCGCATTGCGAACAGGGTCGGCGGCACCGGCCGTCAGGCCTTCGCAATCATTGATTTTACTAAGGTTTGGGGCTCATTTTGTCCTTTCCAGGGGGCAGCTCTCATTTGCGCTTCTGAGGAGGTCGCACGAGGCCCCAAGATAGCCCCAAGAGGCCCCCAGGAGGCCTCCAAGAGGCCTCCAAGAGGCCCCCTGGAGGCTCCCAAGCGGCCCCAAGAGGCCCCCAAGAGGCCCCCAAGAGGCCCCCAAGAGGCCTCAAGAGGCCCCAAGAGGCCCCCAAGAGGCTCCCCAGAGGCCACCAAGAGGCCCCCAAGAGGCCCCAAGAGGCTCCAAGAGGCCCCCAAGAGGCCCCACGAGGAGCCCGAACGACTCACACCAGGACGAGGGGCCCGAACGACTCACACCACGAAGAGCCCGAACGACTCACACCAGGAGGAGGGCCAACGACTCACACCAGACGACGGCCCGAACGACTCACACCACGAGGAGCCCGAAAGAGGCTCCAAGAGGCCCCCAAGAGGCCCCACGAGGAGCCCGAACGACTCACACCAGGACGAGGGGCCCGAACGACTCACACCACGAAGAGCCCGAACGACTCACACCAGAAGGAGGGGCCCGAACGACTCACACCAGGACGAGGCGCCCGAACGACTCACACCACGAGGAGCCCGAACGACTCACACCAGGACGAGGGCCCCGAACGACTCACACCCCGAGAGGAGCCCGAACGACTCACACCAGGACGAAGGGCCCGAACAACTCACCACGAGAAGCCCGAACGACTCACGCCAGGACGAAGAGCCCGAACGACTCAAACCACGACGAAGAGCCCGAACGACTCACACCAGGAAGAAGGGCCCGAACGACTCACACCAGGACGAGAGGCCCGGAGATATGCGGGGGCAGGCGGAAACACGCCTGAAAAACACGATTGTCGGCATGCTTCGCAAGAGTTGCTGTTTTGAGATGGGCTGGTGGGGATACGCGAAGCGTGAAGAATTTGGCATTTTCACCCACCCAGTACAGCATTTCGTGGCCCCATAGGGAGCTCCACCGAAGCCCCCACTGGGACCGCCCGCATGCGTCCCCCACGCCCAATTTGGCATTTTCACCCACCCAGCACAGCGCATCGTGACCCCATAGGGAGCTCCACCGAAGCCCCCAGTGGGACCGCCCACATGCGCGCCCCACATCCAATTTGGGATTCTCACTCACCCAGTACAACGCTTCGTGGCCCATCAGGGAGCCCCACCGAAGCCCCCTGGGACCGCCCGCATGCGTCCCCCACAATCAATTTGCCATTTTCACCCACCCAGTACAGCGCTTCGTGGCCCCATAGGGAGCCCCACCGAAGCCCCCAGTGGGACTGCGTCCCCCACACCCAATTTGGCATTTTCACCCACCCAGTACAACGCGTCGTGGCCCCATGGGGAGCCCCACCGCAGCCCCAGTGGGACCGCCCACACGCGTCCTCCACGCTCAATTTGGCATGTTCACCCAGCCAATACAACGCGTCGTGGCCCCATGGGGAGCCCCACCGCAGCCCCAGTGGGACCGCCTACACGCGTCCCCCACGCTCAATTTCGCATGTTCACCCACCCAATACAGCGATTCGTGGCCCAATAGGGAGCCCCACTGAAGCTTCCAGTGGAACCGCCCGCATGCGTCCCCCACGCCCAATTTGGCGTTTTCACCCACCTAGTACTGCGCTTCGTGACCCCATAGGGAGCTCCACCGAAGCCCCCAGTGGGACCGCCCGCATGCGTCCCCCACACCCAACTTGGCATTTTCACTCACCCAGTACAGCGCTTCGTGGCCCCATAGGGAGCCCCACCGAAGCCCCCAGTGGGACCGCCCGCATGCGTCCCATAGGAAGCCCCACCGAAGCCCCCACTGGGACCGTCCGCATGCATCCCCAACACCCGATTTGGCAGTGTCAACCACCCAGTACAGCGTTCCGTGGCCCAATAGGGAGCTCCACCGAAGCCTCCAATGGGACCGCCCGCGTGCGTCCCCCACACCAAATTGGCATTTTCACCGACCCAGTACAGAGCCCCACCGAAGCCCCCAGTGGGGCCGCCCGCATGCGTCCCCCACATCCATTTTCACAAACCCTGTACAACGCTTCGCGGCCCCATGGGGAGCTCCACCGAAGCCCCCAATGGGACCGCCCGCATGCGTCCCACACGCCTAATTTTGTATCTTCGCCCACCCAGTGCAGCGCTTCGTGGCCTCATAGGAAGCTTCACCGACGGCCCCAGTGCTATCGCCCGCATGCGTTCACCCCCCGCCCAGCGCAGCGCTTCGTGGCCCCATAGGGAGCTTCACCGAAGAAGATATTCACAATTGCGGTACCCACAACTTCACATGGTTGGGTCCTTCACCAGGATACTTTAATCAGTGGTCCCTCTCTTGGGCCTTTCTTGAGGCCTTCTTGGCGGCATTTTGAGCTCTCATGCGTGCCTCTTGGGCCGTATAGGGCCCGCTTGGGCCCTGTTGGAGCTCTCTTGGGGGCCTCTTCGGCCGTCGTGGAGCGGTCTTGGGGGCTTCTTGGGAGGTCTTCGAGCGTCGGAAGCCGACAAAGAGAGACCGAGAGAAACATCGAAAAAAACTATTAAATTCAACGAGGTGTGCCTCTCGGGACCCTCTTGAGAGGCCTCTTGGGGCGTCTTGGAGACCTCTTGGGCCATCCTTGGACCAATCTTGGGCGTCTTGGCCCGATCATTGGGCGTCTCGGGGCACTCTTGGACTGCCTTGGGGGCGTCTTGGGGCCCCCTTGGCCCGTCTTGGGGCCACCCTGGGCGTCCCCAGGCGGCCCGGGGCCAGCCCACGGCGGTTTTGCATTCATTGATCCTGCGGCATTCTTGCACGCACGGCCCCTGGCATTGTAGTATAGACTAGCGTGTTCGTGGATTGAACCCACGGTGGGCAGCACCATCCCCTCGTTTCTGTTTGCGGCTACTCGACGCTGCCTTTCGATACTTGCTTGCGCCTGCTACTGATGGCCGCTCCGTGGTGCCGCTTGCTGATGTTGCTTGCCAGTTCTGGGTGCTGCTGCTTACTGTTTTGTATTGACGGTGCTGCTAATGGCTGCTGTTGCTGCTAGCTCTGCTGCTGGCTTCGCTGCGTGTTTGATGCACTCGCTGGCTTGTCCAGTCTTGATGCCCTCTTGGGGCCCTCTTGGGGCTTGCTTGGGATCGCTACTGCGTTTGTCTCTCTTGGCTACCGTTTCTGCTGGTTCAGCTGAGGCTGCTTGCTGCGATCGCTAGCTCGTAGTGCCTTGGGGATCTTGCGCGTCTGTGTCGGGGCCTTGGGCTCCCTTGGGGCCCTCTTTGGGGACCTGCCGGGGATATACTGAAGTCTCGCGAAGGCCTTTGAGGTGTACCCGTCACCCGAAGATGAAGGAAAGGGGAGCCCACTCGATCATTGAAGTAGGAAGGCGCCCAAAGTACATTGAAATCAGAGGATCTAAAAATACCTGCTTCCAACGACCGACAAGCGTGGGGGCCGTGTCTTGGGCAGTTTGGAGGGCGTCTTGAAGCGATGTTCGGCCGCCTTGGGGCGATCTTGGAGGCCCGCTGGGGCCAGATGGGCGTATTGGGGGGGCGACTTGGGCCCGCTTGGAGGCCACTTCTGTACCTCGCGGGCGCTCTTGGAGATCCCTTGGGGCACTTCTTGAAGCCATGTGGACGCGAGGAAGAAAACATGCGAGCTCCAAATGTATGCGACTTTCTATCTGGATCTAACGAGTTTCGCATCGCAGGGCCTCTTAGGGCCACCATGGCGCCATCTTGGAGCGTCCTGGGACGCCGTGGGCCGTTCTGAGCGCCTCCTGGAGCTATTATGTCGGGCGTGTCCCCCCCCCAGGCGGATTTTGGACGAAACACATTAAAAAAAATCAAACATGATCAAAAGTAGTCGACATACTATTTTTGGACTAGTTTTGAAAACTCCTCCTGTGAAGGGACGTGCCCGACTTAATCCTGGAGCAATGGGGCGAGCTGGGCAAATGTGGGAGCCGCACTCAGCCGACTGAAGCCGTCTGAGGTCCGCAGGGGCCCGCCCACCTGGCCACTGGAAACTCAACTTGAGAGCACTGATCCTCGCATTTCCAAATAGATGACCCTGGGCTCCAGCTTCGCCTCCCATATCCCGCTGAGCAAAGCCAAAGCCCGCTGCCACTGCTCGCCCTTCCCGCACGCGCTGATCCCAGCGTTGTAGCAGA